GTCCTTCCAGAGATTGTTTTATTCCTGTATTCTCCCTCCCAACTTAATCCGTTAGCTCTTGCATTTTTCTCTGCAACTCCATCAGCATGGTTTTGACCTTTATTTTGAATTCTTTTTCAGGAAGATTGGTTAACTTTGTATGTCTGTGCTCCCGGTGCGGATGAGTAGGGCTGGTTATTTAGTAGTCCTGGGCCCCCACTCTCTCCCCGCTCCGACTCCTGTCCTCCCGCTGGGGAGCTGGGGTAGGGGGCACACTCGGGTCCCGCTGGGCCGTGGCTTGTATCTTACCCCCTTCATGACGTGCTGGGTTCTCGCAGGTGTCGATGTAGCCTGGCTGTTGTGCTGTATCTTCTGGTCTCTCTTTTAGGAAGAGTTGTATTTGTTGTATTTTCAAAAATATATATGGTTTTGGGAGGAGATTTCCGCTACCCTACTCACTCCGCCATCTTGGCTCCTCTCATCTTGCTTTTTTTAAAAATTCTGTTTAGTGAAAAGCAAAAACTTAATTATCCCTGATGTACATGGAGAATGAGTATTATTTAACATTAGTGGTAATGATAAAAATACAGTGCAAATAACTGTTATTAAATTTTGGAAAAAATGAAGGAGAAAACCCAAATGGAATGCAAATGATACTAAATCTATTTGACTTGCAAAATATACATATAATACCTGCAAAGAAAAAAAGGTCCTTCTTTAGTTAGAATAATTCTCTTTGTACCTAGTCAGATATAAGGGGATATTCAGTTCACTGTTACTTAATTTGAGGCAAAGATAAGGTTTTATATTAACATTTTTTTATTAACTAGTCCAACTCCTATATGGTTGTAGGACAGTTAGCCAAATGATAATATTAGATTATAACAGAGGTCTGTGGATTCTTTGAACAGTCGAGAGGAACTGTAAAAAAAGCTGAATCCTACTCCTGTTCCCTCTAGGTTGAAGCTTATCCTGACCTTCACCTTAGAAAAAAGGAATTCTGAGAAACGCTATGAAGTTAAAATTACTCTTTTTCTCTTTGTGTCCTGGGGCCTTTCCTTAGGGTGAACTGGGTTGCAGTGGAGACATGCCCAGGCATTCCCTGGGGTGGTCTGGGCTTCCTGTGCAGCTTTGAATTACAGGAGAATAAGCTATTCAGGATGTCCCAGGTGCTATAGCAGAGTGCAAACATGCACTTGTGCTGCTGGGTCACAGCTGCTTGTCTGCAACTGGGGAGAGAAAGCAGCATGAGTCTTCTGGGCGGCCTCAGCAGGAAGCCTGTGTGTGTTTCTTCACCTATCCCTTGAAAATCATTTCATGTGCTGCTACAGTTCTTACGGCTTAAGGAAATGGTGCTTTAGACATTGCTTCCTCAGATGTTTCTTAAGCAATGAAATGATACCAGTTATTCCCTAAATAGTCCTGGTGTGGACTTCATAGCTTTTAAAAAGTAGTCCTTGGAGAGTCTGTTAGTTACAGCATTGGGAAATCATGTGACTGACTACCAACTCTGGCCTCCCATGTCTGTGCTGCATACTTGAGTCAGTGTGAGGCAGTGCTTCTTGGAGAATAGTGTCATTAATAATTGAAAGGCTGATCTGTTCAGCTATGGCTGGAATAACTAACAGTCTTCATTTTGAAAGTCTAGCTTGTGAGAGTCTAAGAAGCTAAAGAATGATTGATCATTAGGTTGAATTGGCAAAGAACCAGAGGTAAGCTGCAGATTTCTCTTGCAGATGTTTTTTCCAAATGAGAATTCCTAAGTCAGGGCAGTTGCTGCTGTAGTGGCTTGGCACTGGGAGCTGGAGCAGCAACAGCAGCTGCTGCCGGGGCCTCTGTTGGAGTCTGAAGGAGATCCTGCCGTGCTCTTCTCCTGTTTTGTGTGTTTGGCTTAATTTCCCAAGTGGACATGATGCTCTGAACATCTTCTGCCTTGCCACCTGGAGGCTCTACTAAAGGTTCCATTAGTGTCAAAAGAAAGTAATATGTTCACTTGATCATTTGAGTCACTTCACACATTCCCTATCTTTAAATCTCTTCTCCAGATCTGTCCCAGGGCACCTAAATCATTTAGTAAACTGACTTCCTGCCACTTATTTTTGATTTAGTTAAGTTCAGCCAGTCAGAGTATTCATGTGGGAACAGGGAGGTAGAAAGAAGGAAGAGAGGTCTTCTGCTATTTCTGAAGGTGCATTTCAGAAGGATATTCAGAGGATATTCATTTAAAGTGCTATTACTATCTCGCTGTATGCAGTTTCTTAGAGGCTAAGCAGATCTGCTTGATGTTGAATCTATATATATCTCAGTTGAAAGGCAGAGAAAATTAACTTTATAAAAGGCTTGTCTAAAACTCCATTATGAGTTTTTTGTAATGTAACTGTTTTTTTGTCTCTAACATGATGAATAAATAGAGATAATTTTGGTTGTTCACAACCATCTTTTATTTTGTGCATTTTATATTGGTCTTATAAGGTAAGCTTTTGCAGGTATGGTTGCTGGATATTACCCATTTATGAGGTCTTATGGCTATTCTCTGTAGTTCCCAATCTAAATGTTTAAGATGGCATTATTATTTAATGTTCAGTAAAATCCTTCTTATTATCTCAGGAAAATCTGTGAAGACATTTTCCATAAGTCAGAACGTGACAATGATTTAAAATAACTGATATAGACCTCCAACAGTTAAGTTCAGTGTTTCTAAAGGTAGAAAAAAAATATCCAACTGTACCTTATTCACTTTTTTATTTTTGATTGTGAGAACGTGCCAAATGCTTTGGACTTGCTTACTCACTTACATGTACTTCCAGTCCTATTCTTACCATTGCAGTTGATAGCTTAACTCTTACAACTTTGGAAGGATGCTATTTGAGTAGACTTAATATTGTTTGAAAGACCTCATTAAAAACAGTTAAGAAAGAGAACACACAAATGAAAGACTGTCTCTAACACCCACAAAACAAACTCAGAAGCTTGACAGTACATATTTGAAAAACATAATTGTCTAAAGCTACATCAAGTTTGTTCAGCTTTCACTCTAGATTTTGGTAGCTTTTTGAAGGAAACATAACAATCAAAGGTCATATAATCTGAAGGATCACCGAACTCACACCGAATTCTGACTGTATGTTAAATTTCTGATATGTATACATGGGAATTTTTTCTTATATGAATATACAATTGTATACCCTTTTAGACATCTCTTACAGAAAATAATACAGTAAAAAATCAACCTTTGTGTAGTGAGAAGGATAAAAATAGCTACCATTTATTGAATATTTGTTAGTGGCAGGCACTATTCTAAGTACTTTATATTTGTGTACTGATTAAATTTTTCTAACAAACCTTATGAGATACAGTACTCTGTGATCCCATTGTATAGATGAGGGAAATGAGGCACAGAGAAGTTAAGTAATTTACCAAGGTCACATTGGTAATAGATGGGACAGCTGAATTCAAACCCCAGCAGTTTGACTCTATAGTCTACTACTGAATTGTCACTTAAACTGGACAGTTATGTGTTTAGGTTTTGGTTTCAGACATTCTGACTGTGACATTCTTTCATTGGGTAGGAATTTGGTTTCTATTTTAGGATCTTCACTGAAGTGATGAAGTGTATATGGTCTATTACTGATCCTTCTCTCCTTTCCTTCTACCTTTAGAATCTGTAATAGTTCTTACTGCTTGGAGGAAGAAGAATAGCATGTGAAAAACAGTGTTACATGGATTTTAGTTGTTTGGTTAATTGCTTTACAACCCACTGAAGACTTAAAGCTTGGCGAGAGAGACATGCATTTTTCCTAGTGCAGAATTCTCTCTGTTTAGAAATATAAAATTTCCTATAATGAACTGCATTAATTTACATCTACCCTGAACATTTTCTTTTCACATAGCATGTTTCGCCAAGGGATGCATGACTTGAAAGTCTGGCCTAATGTAGAAGCAGATGGATCAGAACCCACAAAAACTCCTGGCAGAACAAGTAGTACTCTCTCAGAAGATCAGATGAGCCGCCTTGCCAAGGTAAAAAAGAAACTATTGGAACAGGTGGAAAGCTCTGAATGATGTCTGTTACAGCATAAATTGACATTATGAATTGTCAGATTATTTTTAAATAAGTTGTATTGAGATATACCCTTGGAATGTGTACAGTTCTTCCGTTTTCAGTATTTCCCAGAGTTGTACAATCATCACCACTTGTTTAGAATATTTTCATCAAAAATGTAACCATGTACTTAATAACAATCATTTCCCAATTCCTCCTCTCTCCAGCCCCTGGCAACTGCTAATGTACTTTCTGTCTCCGTGGATTTTTCTACTGTGGGCATTTCTTATAAACGGAATCATATAATGACCGTTTGTGTCTATCATTCTGTCAGATTTTGAAAATAGAGCTTTTGGTGATATTTTCAAGATGACCACCTACCTTTTTTGGTGACATAGTATTAAGATGCAAGTGTTACATGTTAGAAATTGTTATGTTGTTTGTTAGTCAAGATAATTATTAGCTTATCTAAATTAGCCTCCCTCAACCCCTACCCCTCCTTTTATAAACAGATTGAGTTAATATGTTTTTCTTTCAAAATTGTTTTGACGAAATGTTTTCATTTAGAAATACAAACAGCTCAATTCTGTGCTTAAAATCATGATATCACATTTTTTGTGAATATTTGTTCACAAAGGACTATAATACATACTGTTTAAAGATAGGAAAAATTTTCAGCTTTTCACATGTCTATATTTTCTTTAAAAGTTTATCTTAATGATGAACTTTAATCTTACTCTTTCTGACTTTTATAAACCTTGAAGAGTTAAACAGAAGTTTTACCAGAATCTGCTCATTTATAGCCTGTGAGTCAAAAAAGGTTAAATCTCAAATGCAGGAGGAATGTAGCATGTACTGAAGAAGCAAAAGCTCTTAATTTTTTTTTTTCTTTTAGAACATCATTGAAATTCATGTTATGGATGAAATTCTAAATTTGAGGTGGAATGGGCAGAGTCAAGGAATATAAAGTTGTATGGTTGCTAAATCCATCCACTTTGGTTCTCTATTCAATGAATTAGGCTTCTGTTTATATGTTCCTAATTTTTTCCCTAATTATTTTTGGTGAAAAGTTCAGAAATAATTTTTCTAACAGGTGACTGAATATTTTTAAACAGCAGCATATGCAGCTTTGGACTTTGTTTAAACTGGACTTTTGGCTTTTTAATGTAGCACCTTATAAATTTCTCATTTTTATTTTTTGAATTTTATGGGAAGAGAAAAAGACTTGACTTGATAATAATCTTTTTGATGATTGGAAGAATAATACCTCAAAGAGTTGTAGGGGTTCATGTTTACTTTTTAGGTTATCAGTGCACTTTTGTAACTGCAGAAAATGATGAGTAAGCATATGCAGAGCTAAGTGAGATGTTAGAAAAAAGCTTCCTTAACATTTTTGTTAATTGGTATCAATCATCAACAGTTTAAATAAATTCTTTATATTGGGGGAGTATGGTAAGTGGGGTCCTACATTTTCCAGGAGTGGTTGTTAAAATTTATATGCTGTAATGTATTGCCCAGAATGGTTAACATTTTTCAAGTCTTTATGCACTGGTATCTAAATCTTTGAAAGGAAAATAAAAATTAATGAGAATAAACATCATACATTCTTTCTGATGTTAATTGGAGTTGAGCTCTTTTCAAAGTTCTTTATCCCTAATAGAACTGTACTTTTTACTTCTGGGTAGAGACTTAAGAGCTTGCTAGGCTGTGACAGCTTGCATTCGGGTTAACTCATGTTCCTCAGAGACTAAACAGAAACCATTAAAACCAGTAATTACTATACTTAAGGGGAAAAATTCATCATCTTTAAAGCTTTGTTGAAGGGACTGCTCCAACTTTGAAGGAAGCTCTTTTTTATTTCTTGGCACTGTGGGCCAATGTGTTTTATTCTTCTGTAAATAGCAGTTGGCTGTGCAATTTGAGGTTTCAGAACCTGTTAGACCCATGCTGCTATTGAAGAAGAATGTGTTTTTTAAAGTTTTAGTTTTGCTTAAATTGGAAGGTTGGGTATTTGGAAGCATTTCACATTGGGAAGAACACTGTATGAGTCAGAGATTGAGCCATCCTATTGCCTCAAGGAAAATAATTTCTGAGCCTATAAAATCAGAAGTCCAGAATAGATAATTTCTGAGGTCCTCTGTAGCTGTCACATTCTGTGATTCTTAAAGTACTGAAATAGCAAATGATTAGGATTATTTATCTGGATTTTATAGTTAGTACATTACTAGAGAATAAGCAGTTGGTCAGCCATTTGCAGTTGTGAATGTTCTTTGTTCATGTCATTCCTTTTCTTCTGCAATGTGTATACATAGAGCAAAGCATTATTCAGGAGCTGCCTAATGAACATGATGTGGATAGATCTTAGATTTTTTGTTGCTTCTGTTGTTTTATTAGTGCCTGCTTTTTTACTTAAATTTTCTGGCTTCCTGAGTCCATTTCCCTTGCCTTATACCAGAGAAACTATACATTGGTATTTGTTGTGGTCTTCTAAACCTGTCAGACAGTATACTTTGATACCTGTCATGTTCTGAACTTAGTATTTAGAATACTTGTTATTTGTTTTATTTTTAAAATTGTGTCACAGTAGGTATCTTTCTCCCTTCTTCCCTCTCTCCCTCCTCCACCTCTCATTTTTCGGGATCCACATTGAAAAGTTTGTTCAGTTAGATCGTCATTCTCTTTCTCAAAACAGTTTGAAATTGTCCTTGATACAATGTACTTTTAAAAACTGGTAAAGAATGTGTATGATTATGTTTCCACTTTCATATAAAAGGAGCAGACATTTTATATGTAATACTTATATTTCATTTTAAGAAAAGAAAAGAGTGTTCAAATGGATGAGATTTAAGTGGTTAGAACTGAATGGTTAATTTCTTGTTGCACTTTGATTTCCATCCATTGAATTTACTATAATTGTCTCTAATTGAAGAGAAGGCAATTGACTCAAAGAGTGAAAAGGTGTACATAAATCTTAATAATAGCAAAACATAGTTACCATGTATTGTACTCATGAGCCAAAATAAATAGCATAGTGACAATTTTCAAACTGCAGTGGAAGAAAGTTTGTTTAGTTTTAGGGTTGCTTCAGTCTTGGCCTCCTGGGGATAATGGGACAAGAGGACTGTGAAATGAAGATGAAGTATTTAAATGGCTTGTGAAAAGATGGTGTTAGATAATTATTAAGCAAAGAACCTCAAATTCAAGCTGGACTAAATATTATTCTGTCTTACTGCTTAGCTATGAAAGTTGACGTATAATTGCAATATGAATAACTGAAGTTTAAAAGCCTAATTTTTCTAGGTTTAACATTTTTCTTAAAAGTCAAATCCTTCCAGAAGAATTTTAGTGGAATTAACCGTTCTAATGATTTCACATCATTTTGTGAACATGCCTAGTTTTTCTTTAAGGAAAAATGTGTGAGAGGAAGGGACACAAAACTGCATGGTCTTCAGTTCTTATTTCTTTGTAACTTGGATTTCCTAGTAGGTCATAGGAAGAAATGAATGTATTAAAATACAGTTTTTCCCCATCCTCTTTGTTAGCTTCTTTCTCATTTCTAAGTTTCCCTAATTAACTTCTACTAATGCCTTTCTGTTTGAATTTATTTGTGAAAATAATCAAAGTCCAGACTTCTGGGGCATTTATTACACTTGAATTGTCCATGGTCCAGTCTGTTAATTGTGTGCCTTTTTTGAGCAAATTTGTCTATTGTTTCCATCTGCTTAGTTTTTCAGCTTGTCATATTTTAAGAGTTTTATGACTAGGATGCATATCCACCTGGGGTTTTGGATGTGACTACTAAGTTTTAGTGTTTGATTTATATTTGAATCCATGTCTTTAGACGTAAAAGGTTACTGTAAAAGCATGCTTCTCCACTGTCTCCTTTTCATTTGAGCAGCTCTGCTTGATACCTTTGGAATGTGCTTTAGTTTCTGTCAATTTGATTAAGAGGAGGCAAAGAGAAAATAGCGACTAGATGAAAAATGCTTTCTGTTCTGTGTGATACAGATAGGTTGGGGAATGTTGAGTGGAGCACATAGGTGAGCATTGCTACAGTGAAGTTGTGGTAAGATGTGGTGTTTCAGTCTGACCCTCAGGTTGGCTGCATGGGGTCACCCTGGGTCAGGGTCCATTAGAGACTGGATTTTTAAAGTTCATCCAGAAATAATTAGTATCTTGAGAATAGGTTCATGCCAATCCATTCAAAAAATTACGTATAGGGTAGAACTATACTGTTTAATAGCCATTGGTCCAAGTGGCAATTTAAGTTTAAGTTAATTAAAATTAAGTAAAATTAAAATATCCAGTTGCTCGGTTACTGTAATCACATTTCAACTGCTCAATAGCCACATACGGCTAGCGGGGCTACCTATTGGACAGTGCAGGTATGGAATGTTTCTGTTGCTGGAGATGGGTCCTTGGTCTTTTTGCTAGAAAGAATTCAAGAACAGACACAAAAGTCGTTGAGCTTTAAAAGTTGACTTGGAAAATGAGTGTAAAGTAAGGCAAAAAGTATACAGGCCTGAGAACTGGGCATGGGCAGACCCAGGGGGGATTGCCTCCAGGGCTCAACAGGGAGCCTTTTTATGTATAGGGAGATGAATATTCACTAAGTGGGATTAGGTATCAAAGGGGACAGGTGGGGTCTTTGGGGTTTGGGTTTGCTCCACCCTCACATAGGGTGGAGGGATTTTGGGCTATGTTTGATTTTCCTTGAACTGTCATGGCTCATGAAGGCATTATTTTATTACACTGATGACAGAGGGGCATGATTTTTACTACGTCAGTGGAGTTTGAAATGATGTTTAAGTCAGTTTCTCCTCCGTGTTGGAACTAGGTTTTATCTGGTCTATTGTCTATACCCTCACTCGACAGCCCTAGGGAATGACATAGAAAGTATAGACTGTAATCAAGCATCCAGCTGAGGTCCCTCTTCCTTTCCCTGCTTCTACCAGCTATCTACCTACTCTGATACTTC